CTAACGTGAGGTCTTTGCCTAAGAAGAAAACAAAATCTCCAAACAGCGGGTCAGCTGTGGCCAACCCCTGATTCAGCCCACCAGACTCCCCGCCCCAACAAAGTCCACCCATTTGGGCGGTGGCGGCTACAATATTTTTGTTTTTAAGCGAGCATAGTGGCGAGGCGCACATCGCCCCCTTCCCCTCCGTCGGATGGCCCCTCGGAGAAGCGGAATGCGGGAGATAACAACCTCTCTTCTTCCTTGATCTGCGCAGATCAGCTGATCTGTCTCTCTCTATATATCTTAAAAGAAAAAGATAGCCACCGCTGCGCTAGTTATGACTAGCACTCCCTTGGACTTCTTCTGACTCTATCCCTGTTGCCTCGTCTGAAATCGATCGCCAGATTTGCTACCACGTTTCTGTTAAACTCTGCTCGGTGCCTCGCTGCGCAATGCTAAAAAGACAGATCGATCGCATAGAACGGAGGGACTATTGTGCAACCTGGACCCCTTTTTTGCGCTGGGCACAAACTAAATTCATGAACCCGCAAGACACTTCCCGGACCACATTATAGGACCTAACATATTACAGGCCTCACCGGGCTCTTCGCCTTTGTCTTCTTCTCCACCATCAGCTGCTTTTGGTTTTTGGGTGGTGGTTCAATGTCCAGTTTTGACGAAGAGATCTGTGAAACTCGAAAACACTGCTCCCTGACTTTCAGTTGGTTCCAAGAAAGTTGTTATATTACTGCAGCTGTTCGATTTTTATTTTTATTTTTTACGAAATCCGCGAGATCCAACTTGAGCTCCACTCCTGCTTTCACCTGTTCTGATCAGGTTGGCATCTTTTTTGAAAGCCATCCCCCCCTCTCCTCAGAAGACGATGCTGTCTGACATGACAGGAGCCGGCCCTGGTTTTCCACCTTCTCCTTCCAAGGGCCACCAATCAAGGCTGGTGGCCCCATTCAAACCAAAGAAAGTCCTCGCATTCAGCTCGGATTCCATCACATTTTAAAGCGGCGGAATCCTCCTGCTGTACTCAGCTGCTGGCAGCATTTAGTTTCCCCAAAAATACTGTATGCGCTGGATTGGGGCACTAGTTTTAATTAAAATCCAGATGTGCTGATTTTAGAAGTATTTATTTCTCTGGAAGAGCTTAATCTTCCAAAGCGCCCTTTCCGCTGAACTAAATGGGACTTCCGAGAAAAATACAGTATGCTGGGGGAATCGGGCTGTAGAGTCACGGAATTGCGGTTTCCCATCCAGCACGGGAAGCCTCGCCTAGGTAAAAGTCACCTAAAAGAGAAGCACTAATCTGACCTATGCACACTTACCTAGTAGTAAGTCCCATTAAATTCTGCGGAACTTACTGCTGTCGGGGCAAACTATTTTGGTAGCTGGTTTTAAATGTTTTCTGGTGTTCTTATTCTTAAAAAGTTTGTTTTTCTCATTCTGTATTTTACATCGACGTTTTTAAATGTTGTAAGCCGCCTTGAATCCCAACGTGGGAGAAAGGCGGGATATAAATATACTAAATACACGAATCATAAAATTGCAGAGGGAAAGGCATAGTCAGGCTGTGAGTGATCCCAATGGGAACTCCAGAATAGACACGAATACGAAGGCCGGGAGTGACTGCCGCAGTCCTAGACACCTGTACAGTGGTACCTCGGGTTACATACGCTTCAGGTTACAGACTCCGCTAACCCAGAAATAGTGCTTCAGGTTAAGAACTTTGCTTCAGGATGAGAACAGAAATCATGCTCCGGCGGCGCGGCAGCAGCAGGAGGCCCCATTAGCTAAAGTGGTGCTTCAGGTTAAGAACAGTTTCAGGTTAAGAACGGACCCCCGGAATGAATTAAGTACTTAACCCGAGGTACCACTGTACTTTTAATTTATAACCAGGGATTTCAGGAGTCAAGGCTGAAGTCAGGAGATGAACAGAGCATTGGCGGGTGGGGCTGCAGTAAGAGTGAGGCGGGGCGGGTCTTACTTACTTTTATATCTCCATCGACCACTCTGATCAAAAGTCCTGGCTTTAAGTCGCTCTTGTGCCTGAAGTACCTCTCCTTCCGGGTGTGCCTGAAGGTTAGGTTCCTATGAACAAGTCTATTCCGACACACTTACCATGAACGCTGAGGCGAAGGGCAATACCACCTTCCCCCATCCGCGCCCACCCCACACTGGCACTGAAATCTTCCTGTGGGGCAGGAGGCCAGCTCGAGGAGAAGCAGGGCAGGCAGGCTGCGAGGCACACCGCTCCGCCCTCCAGCATTTTTCTGCAGTTCACCTAAGGCCGCTCCCTGCCTCTGCCCAATGACAGGGCCGGGCAGCCCAGCGCCGACCAGTCTCAATCCTACTAGGCACGCTTCCTTGGGAATGAGCCTCGCCAAACACCGACCGGCTTCCGAATAAACACGTATGTGCAGGGTGGCCACCGCCACCCAGTTTCATTTGGCTGACAAGATTTAACTGCAGGCCAGGCTGAATCCCACATGCGCTCGGTTGGCAGCGCCCTATTGAGATGGCGGGGGCTGGCATCTGAGCTTGGGGTTCAGGCTGTTAGGGAGAAGCAGCGGAGTGGTTAGATCAGAGATAGGAAAGATCCAGATTCAAATCCCTCCTCAGCCATAAAACTCACTGGGCCATTCTTTCGGGCTAGCCTATCTCGCAGGGTGGTCGTAAGGATAGCGTGAGGGGAGGAGGCAATGTAGCTGCGTTGCACTTCTTGGAGGAAATACAGTGGTACCTCGGGTTACATACGCTTCAGGTTACAGACTCCGCTAACCCAGAAATAGTGCTTCAGGTTAAGTACTTTGCTTCAGGATGAGAACAGTTGCAGGTTAAGAACGGACCTCCGGAACGAATTAAGTACTTAACCCGAGGTACCACTGTATTGTTTACAAGCAGAATGAAAGCATTAAAAACGGGCACTAAAAGTAGTACAGCTCTGAGCAGCCGGATCCTGTACACGGATAACTGGGCTCACTCTCAGGAAAGAGGTTTTTTTAAGGATCGCAGCCTCTGTTTCCCCCGCTCGCCGCCCGCCTTTAGCTGCGAGAAGTCCTTCAGAACTGGATTAGAGCCCCTCTCCACAGAGCTCGGCTTCCAGCAGGTGGGAACAAGCGACGGGGAAAGCGGCTCATCCTGCAACTCCATACACGCCCTGCCAGCCAGCCTCCAGTCCTAAGGCAGCTGGCTGCTGTTGGAAAATGCGGCTCGGATTGCGCACCCGGCCTCCATCCTCCGCTGGATCCGACAGCCGGAGCAGCCCGTAGCGCCACATAGCTGGCGGGCAACTCGAAACCTACGTCAGTTTCCAAAGCTGCGTAGACTGCTTTGGGAGAAGCTCTGAGGTGACAGTCCTACAGAGCTTAAAGTGTGTGCAAGCTAGAGCGGAGAATTCTTTAAGCAGGGGCAGCAGTTGTCACGCTGGCCCGGTGATCCTACACGCACCACGTTTCCTGGGGCAATAAGCTCCACGTAGCCCCAGTCAAAACTAGGACAAGGTAACATAAAATCATAGAATCGTAGAGTCGGAAGGGACCCCAAGGAAGGATCATTTAGTCCAACCCCCTGCAATGCAGGAATAACACAGAGAGCATTAAGCACCTTTAAATAATGACTAGCAGTGCAAGATCAAATTTTAGCCAAAGTTCAGCACATGGCAGTACCGCAGAGTTCAAGCCGCGAGTGTCCAGCGGGTGCTTAATTTGCGCTCACTTGAGAAGTTCTGCAAGATTTGGTGCACAGATTTCTGTGAACAGAAGTTCACAGAGCATGCTTCAGACATGCCTAATTAAGACCATAGCCTAAAGTGTCAGCTATTAAATGATAGCTTTGACTGGGCTCTCTCGTTTCTTGGTGTCAAAGTATGCCAGCTTCAGGGTATCACAGAAGCCTGCGGCAAGCGGATGGAGACATCTGTGTGCCTTAAAGGTTTGCATACTGTTGCCTTGAAGGAAAAGACCAAGAAAATGCTTCGCTTTATAAGGGATCTTGGCTCTCTATATTTAGTCAAGCTTACGCTTCGCTTGATACCACAGAAGGTCAAAAACTACGCAACGAGCCTTTCTAGCTGGGAAGCTGCGCTGACAAGGAAGGAAAAACAGGAGCAATAACTCATTCGAAGAGGGCAGCCCCATTAGTCTGTCTTGCCGCAAGAGAGCAACGAAGAGCCATGTGGCACCTTAAGGACTAACGCATTTATTGCGGCGTAAACTTTCCTAGTCTCCGGTCCACTTCACCAGATGCATGAAGTGTGGGGTCCTGATCGTAAATCTTGAGATCTAAGCGAAAGGAAATGCAGAAAGCACAGAGAGTGGCAATTAACGTTACAGTATTAACAATGGGAGGTTTGTATTCTTGCGAAAACTGATCTACGAACACTGTTAAGAATTTGACTGTCTTTCCTGCAGCTGATTGCCTCGAATTAGTGGCCTGAGAGTTGCTCCCAGGAAATCTGCCTTTGCACAGGTCCCTGGGAGTTAGTCCCATTGAACAGGGAGAGGATTACTCTCGGGGGAACGTGAGTTGTCCATTGACTCTCCGGAATCCTCCTATTGGGCTAGCCCCATTGTTGCTGGAATCCAACTCCCACGCTTTCTGGGGCTGCTGGGAAATTTAAGTTGCGCAACATCTGGTGGGGGGGCGGCAGGGGCATGGGTGTAGCCAAGGGGGGCAGGGGGCAGCTGCTTCCAATCAATCATTCCATCAAATTATGTTCTGCCCCCCCCTTAACAAAAGCCTGCCCCCCAACCAAAAATTCTGGTCATACCCATGGGCCAACTAGAATTAAATATTTGGGGGCCCAGGTAAGCCCCGCCCCGCATAATCAATCACATGTGGTCACGCACACCACTTGAATTGAAATGTCCATCAACTTGGCGGAGGACCCGTCAAATATTTTATGGGGGGGTGAAGCCCCATTGACTCCTATGGGGGGGGCGGGGAGGCGCCTAGGTTTCCCATTCCTGGCCTCGACGGTTCTGAGGAAATGAACGCATGACATTGCTCAGGCCAGTCGTCCATAAAATACTTTATTGAAATAAAATCAATATCTTCATGTTAATGAAAACCGATTGTAAAAGGCGTCTGTCTGTCGAATAATTTGCGGGACCCCCAACCCCACCCCACCCCGTGTCTGAGACAGCGAAAGAAGAAAAAGAGCCCCCCTTCTGCCCAAATCCTTCTCACCCAACGCCCACCCAGCGCGAAGGCGACGTTTTCCTTACGTGTGCACAACAGGCACTGAGGCGGGGGCAGTTCAAACGCGCAGTAAATACAACGGATTCAACGGAGAATAATAGTCCACTAACCATTTTGCCACCCATCTTCTTCCACTCTGCAGCTTCTGAAAAACAAAGTCAGTAGCGCGCCCCTCCTCTGTTTTGTGCGCCTACTCCTCTTTACGCATCAGGCAATCCACTTGGTTTTTAAAGAAACCACGTACGCGCAAGCGAGCGCCTCAGCGAGGACTAGTCGATTGGCAAGGCGCACAAGCCTGCAGTTCAAGCCGTAATGGCTGGAGGTTCCAACAGGGCGCGCGCGGATGCGAGAGGGAGGATTTCGAAGGCGTCGCGGATCCAGCCTCTTAGGCCACTCAATGGAGAAGCAAGGCGCTTCGGCCGCGGCCGCCTTTGCAGTACCGTAAGTCTCTGTGTTGCAAGGCACTCCCGCCGAGAGGCCTCAGCCTGCGGCGCGCCGTTATTCCTCTTGGCTGACTTGGCAGGGGGAGCCCAGGCTTTCCGCTTGTTTCTCTGCTTCCTTCGCTCGCTCTTGCTCGGTCAGCTGCTCGCTGGTAGGAATGGAGTTTTTCTTCGGGCGGCCTTTGGGCTTCGTGGGAGATTCGAGCCCTCCGCCTTGCAGAACCTGCAAAAAAGAAAAAAGGGGGAAAATCGGGAGAAAAAAGCAAGAAGGCCCAGAGAATTTAATCAGCTGGGAGGCGGGGAATTACAGGCTTATAAGGAACCCGTCCTTTTTATTTTTTTAAAAAAGGGAAATTCAAAGTAAAAAAAAAGCTCCTGATTTCTAATAAGCATCGGTTCACCAGGATTTTAACACCGACCCTGACCCTCCACCTGGCTTGCGCGATCCAGTGGGTTAACTAGGACTGTCTGGGTTTGGTTTTTTCCTGCAGAAATCCTGCGCTTTTGACAGAATCCTGGCAGGCAGAAATCCAGCGGGCGAGCCTTTCTCCAGCAAGTTGTTCTCCACGCAGAAGATCGCCTCACCTGTTGGGTTTCTACCTTGCGCAGCTGTTAAAGAAGCACCAGTCTTGTCCGAAACCGGTGGCCATCTTCAGGCAGCAAGTAAGGGTCACTCTCCTGCTGCAGAGGAGCGAGGCTAACAGAGAGGATCGCCTTGGCTGCTGGATCTGTGCACTCACTCAGAGCACCAGTTCCTAACCAGGAAAGATCCGTGCTGGTTTGTTTTATAGGAGTACTTCTGCTTACAATTGGAGCTTCTCCAGGAGTTTAGATCAGGGGTGCCTAACCTGTGGCCCTCCGCATCACATTCTTAGGTATGCCTGCTCTAAAATAAGCACAGGATTTCCGCCTAAAGGACGCTGCAAAACGCCCCCCTGTTTTTGCCAGATGATGTCTGACGGATGCTTGAGGCCACGACAAGGAAGAGACGCTCACTCCGTAAAAGACAACCGCACTGCAATCCTGTACAGGATCCACAGGATTTCTTCCCAGTAGAATTTCCGGGATGGTGGACCTGTGGCTTTCCAGAGGTTGCTGGACTACAATTCCCATCATTCCTGGCCATTGGCCATGCTGACGGGGGCTGATGGGAGTTGGAGTCCTATGAGCCCTGGAAGGCGTACAAGGCTGCCGCTTTCTTCATAACTACTGCGCGCAAATGCAATTACAATGTGCACTGCCAGTACTAACTGTGTTTGCGCATATCAGCCATGTTAGTTTGGTGCTGCTTTTCCATACTATGGTTTAAGTTCTGCACTGTCCGGGTGTTTTGACTACTTTGGGTTCCTTTGGGAGGAAAGAGTGGGATTAATATTTATTTAATTGACTGATTCGATTTAAAGGTGAGGTTTTTCTAAAACGCTGCGCATTGCCCTGCGCTCTTTCAGTAGGAAGGGCAGTATACAAACACAATTAATGATGATGATGATTATTATTCCTTTACACTTGCCTCTCCAGCTTTTCCTTTCCTCTGGGTGTCTCCCCAAGTTGTCTAATGTTCCTTTGTAGTGATCCGTGCACACCGATGGAATAAGACTAATAATAAATCACCGTGAATGTGTGTCAGGCCCCACTTACTTCAATGAGTTTGTTTCCCACATTCCTGTTGTGAGAATCGGGGTGTAAGTAAGATCGATCAACTATCTATCTGGACTTTAAAGTTGCGGTTAGGATCAGAGTAGGAGAGACTGGTTTTAAACAGCCCAAATTCAATCTGACATCATCTCGTTCAAGTTCCACGTGAGGAACAGGACAGCCTCTCCGTCCCTTGAATATCCCAGGCAAGGTCTTGTTCTGGGATAACAGCAGGTTGAAGGCATCGGTGTGGACAAAGCTGCACCGATTACCATCCCGTTAGAACGCCACATTGAAATCCACGAGTAATCCATGGGTCTATCAATCCCACAGATCACCAGTGTCAGGCTTTCTGCCAGCAATGGGAGGGGGGCGCAGTGAGGAGGATCAGCTTTGAATCCTGAGTCCTTCTTATACATCATGGGACCGTGGAAGTGGGGTCGACTGGCTCTTCCCTGCCAAGAGTACGTTTTGCCCGGGGAAGCCCTGACGATTTGGGTCGGGTTGGACCAATGGCAAAGGTACAATCTTTGACTGTGCCACAGTCCAATGAGATGGGCCCTATCGCTTTCCGCAGTGCTTGTTCCGGGCGCTGTATACTGCAGTCCGAGTTGGACTACAACTCGCATCATTCCTGATCATTAGCCATGGTGCCTGGAACTGATAGGAGTTGTGGTCTAAAACGTCTGGTGGATCGAGGTTCTCCACCCCTGGAAGGAGCCTTTTCTGTCTGCAGCCTTAGGAAATCTGTGGGTTGGGGGGCGTATTACTTTTCCTGCAGAGGAAAGGGTTGCAAATGACTAGCATTTCCTTTCCTTTACGGCTGGGGTGGATGCATCCAGGTCACACCGGTACTTGGAGACAGGCAGGAGGAGAGAAAACAAACCTCTGCCATTATATAAAGATGAACGGTACTGGCGCCTTCTTTCTCCCTTTCTTAGGAGGTCAAGAAAAGCCATTTGGCTGGGACAGTGTGTTTTTCAGCGGTTGCCTAACTAAGTACATGGGGTGAAGGGGGGGGAACACACCGATTTAAATGGTTGAACTTCCAGAAAGCACACTTACTATTTTCTTCCATTTCATTCGCCTATTTTGGTACCAAGTTTTCACCTGTAGTTGACTCAGGCCCAGGGATTCCGCCAAATCTATCCTACAGGGAAGAGAAGAGAGGGCGCACGTGGCTCGAGATCTCTATCTCCAGATCCTCCTTCCCTTGCGCGCAAACTGCGCCGCTATCCGCTCACCATCCCTTTCCCTCTGCGTCCACCACCCACCCTCTTTAATAGGTCAGGACCTCTAGTTCTGGGAGCGCAGCATTGCGTATATAAAGTGAGCAAATATGAAGACCCTGAGAGGTTGGCTCGCTAAAGAAAAGAAATAAATAAGCAATTTATCAGGTCCGTCCAGGGAGCTTCATGAATGATTAGTTATGTTGTCCTTTTCAGAAAGAAAGGTTATATATACCTATCTAGTATTCCACACTGCAATGTCTGGTGCATCACCAATAAGCAAACCCAAAATGAGCCATATTTTCAAGCTGGGGGCCTCAGTACCCTCCTGCGCACACAATTAAATCTTGCAGTGATGTGGGAAACCACCCTCGGTGCTGTCCTGCTGGAGAAACGGCGGCCAGCGGAAGAATGGACTCATTCCGGGTTTGGACCCCCATCCCCATTGTGGGGAAGAAGGGTTCAGCGGGGGTCGGAGGCTTGCCCAGGTGGGGTCGTTCGCGGAGGGCCTGCCCCATTACCTTTGCGGACTTTGAGCTCTGGTGGGGCCTGGGGGGAACTGATCCTGACACCTGTAAGAGTCCCCGGGGGAGATTTCCCGGGCTGGCTTTCTCGACGTGCGCTCTCCCTCTCTCTTTTGGCAGGAAGGCAAGCCGATAGGATTCCCCTCACCCACCCCACAACGATCCCCACCCCCGTGTGCTGTCCGGCTGTACGCCCCGTCCGGGGGGGGGCTGCCTCTAACTCCCACTCCCAGGGCTCCCGTTTCCCCCCTCTCCCTGGGCGAGGGCCCACCTGTCGGGCGTGGAGAGGTATTTCTGCTTCTCGAAGCGCTTCTCCAGGCCCATCAGCTGCAGCTCGGTGAAGACGGTGCGGCTCCGACGGCCTTTCTTGGCTTTGCCTCCCGCCTCCGGAGTCCCCGGCTCCAACTTCCCGCGGAGGTGCAGCTCGAGGGGCAGGTGATGAGGCCCCGAGGCGCCCTGGAGCCCGGAGCCCGCCGCTAGCAGCGCCGAGCTCAGGCCTGAGCAGCCCAGAGGCGCCAGCGGGAACTTGAAAACCGCCGCCTGCTCAGCCTTCAGCACCGCTGGAAACAAAGAGAGAGAGATTGAGAGTCAACAGCGGGGGGGGGTGAGAATCCTAGGTCTAGCACCCTTGCCCGCCCCCCACTTCCGAGATAGCAGCGTTTGGAAGCAGGAAAGCGTCAGGACAAAGATCCCGGGGAAGAAAGTTTGTTGTTGCGCCTGGCAGATTCATAGGCTCGGTACTCTCCGGCCATTCTTCAGGGGATTTTTCCTTACCCACAGACAAAAGAAGCCTTGTGGCGCTTTAAAGGGGAGCAGATGAATTATGGCTTCCCGTGGCGCAATGGCGCACAGAGGTATTGTCACAGGAAGAGCCCTGCCGGATCAGGCCGAAGGCCCAGATAGTGCAGCTAGCATCCTGTACTCAGAGTCGCCTTAACCAAGAGCAGGACCTGAGTACAGCAGCAGCACTCGCCCCGCTTGGGACGCCCAGAAACTGGTATTCGGGCATACCCCTTGGATCACTATAAATCTGCTCTCCACAAAGATCTTTACTGCAGGGATTGCGCTGGGGCAGACAGTGCCCTTCTAAGACCTCGCTAGGTTACAACTCCCATCATGTGGCTGGCTGATTATTAATAGAGTCCTAAGACAGGCCTCTAAGGTGGTAAAGAAGCTAAGAACCCGCTGAGATCTCGAATCGCTTGATCTATATATGTATTTCCTTTATTTGCATGTCAACTTTTCTCAAGGGAGCTCTGGGTGACCTGCGTGGCAGGTAGGTCCCGCATTTCATCTCCCCACCCAGGTGAGATAGAATATTAGAGTCATTGCCTCCAGATCACCGAGGAAGCCTCGGGGAGGAGCGGGACCTGTACTCAGAACCTTGAGGTCTACGGTTGCGCTCCTCCTCCTCCTGCTCTCCCTTCAACTCAATCTGGCAGGACGAAGCTGGATGTGAAACGGGGAGTCTCTTAGCTAGGAGGTGTCCGAGTGCCAGCCAGGAGGAGGCAGTGGGTGGAAATAGGAGCAGCTGGGGTTTATAATAATGAACGTATTTTCTTGGCAGTTAAGACGCATTTAACTAAACTGCATTACTTCCGAGTAAACAAGGTTGGGATTAGACTGCAGGAGCGCGGGAAATCGTGCAGCCCGATCTTTTCCTTCCAGGCTGATTTAGGATTAAGTCTAAGCGTGTCTGATTCTGGCTTAAAGGTGAATAGGGGCAGGTTGCACGATTTCTCGCGCACTGGCTAGCGATACTCCCGCAGCCCAATCCAGCCACTCGGAGGTTTACTGGAGGGCGCTGGGAAGGAGAGCCGAGTAATGAGAGCGCCTCTTAAAGTGCATCTAGATCCAAAGCGATTGGGTATCGAAAGTGGGGGTGGGGGATGAGAGCGGGAGAGATCGATATGGAAGGATTCCTTTCCTGTAAGCCCCGTCAGCCATCCTGCCAATTTTCCATAACTAAACTGGTTTAACTTTCGATCCTCAGCTGCTGTATTTATCCGAAAGCCATTTCCAAGGAAACTAGCGCCCTGGTGACTTCAGTGGTGTTGCCATTTCAGTTGTAAACAAATTAAATCGAAACTTCCATTGATTATGACGAAGGTGAATTAGGCGCTTCCTGTGCTGTAAATAGACGTCGATGACGTCAGTCGAATTTAGGTAACGTCCTATTTGGTAATACTTCGATTATGGGACTTACTCGCAAGTTGCGCTTGTTTGCATGTTTTTAGGATGGCACTACCGCCGTAAAGCTTTAAGACAGCGGCAGAAATTGACTTATTTGAAAATGTTGCCGTTTTATTCAGCAGCTTGTGAATCTAGCATTCTGCTCCCAGTGATCATATTTTATATTTAGTTTTCCCCGAGGAGCAGTAGAACATATTCTATCGTTTGGAAAGAAAGGAAAAATTGCTGCTGCTAAAATATTTACAGTATTTTCGAATCATATGAGCATCAGGAATAGTTTTTAAAAATAAATAATAACATTGGAAGCACAATATTAGACAAAACAAGTCCCTTCGATTTTACTGAAATTTACTTTCAAGCAATAAGTCTAGCAAACGGATGAAAACCTTTTCTTAAAAGAATTCAAGACACTACATGCAGCCTGTATATACTGTTGCTCAAAAACTATTTCCATGTTTGTGGAAATCTATTGTTAGTGAAGCAGTAACTCAATATTTTCCATAGAACAGGTAATAAATAGAGATTGATATATAGCCTACTGCTCTGATTTTGGAAAGTCTTTTGTCTAGCAGCTTATGAATGTGATTTTAAATGGAATCTAAATTTATTCCACTTTCATAGGCCGATTCTCAAGGCAATGGAAATGTAACCCGATATTTAGATTAAAGCTAGATTCTCAAAACACACTTATCCAGGAGTAAATGCCACTGAAGTCAATGGAACTTACGGCTGAGTAGACATGTGTAGGACTGAGCTGTACATAACATACACATTAATTTGCATGCAAATACATTAAAGGGCGTGTCAATCAAGCTTCTAAGACAATGCCAGCATTTTCCTCCATAATGAAAAAGTGAAAATAGAGTAATGAAAAGATGTAAACAACTTTTGCTAGATTTGAGACAACCATTGTTTAATGCAAAAACATCATAGCTTACACACACACCCAAAAAAACCACCCAAACTAAACCAAACCAGGGACAGGATCCAAACATAATTAAGCACTGAGTGGAGAGAATTCAACATATGCTTAAATCTTCACCCATTAAAAGTAATGGCATTGTTTACTCAGAAGCAGCCCCCATTGAGTTCAATGAAACTACCTTCCCTATCAAGCATGCGGAAGAGACCTGCCGCCTTCAATGATTTCCTCGCAAAACCGTGGAGGAATTTTTATTCGCTCCATCCAGGCAGGAGGTCATTTTTGGGGTACTTTTTTTATCTTGCCGAGGAAACTCTAAAGGCGGCGGTACATTTGCATCCGCTTGCGAGTTACAAATTCATCCGCACTCGGCATACCTTGGGGCGGAGAGGGGGAAAGGTGCTGGCAGCGCTCGAGAGCCAATGCATACCGGCTACGGGGGAGAGGGATCAGTTAAAAATAGACTAAGACGCAAAGCGTTTATAATTTCAGATTTCTTTCCCTGGCAGAGTAGAAAGAGGCTCCCCAATGAGTGCCATGTGAGCAGCTCTCCTGGACCCACCGGCCCCTCTCCGCGCTCCTATTTTCTTCAGCCTGCGATCATGAAAGGTGTCAAGAGTGTGGCGCTTCACTCCAAAGGGCGAATCCGTAGTGCGCGCTCCGAGTCCTGGCGCTGAAGCGATAGAATCCTCGCGTCTCTCTTTTGGAACATCCACGACGTTTCTCTCCCAAAGGGACCCTCGGACCCACCCTGCTTCGGCTTAAATCTAGGTGCAGCGGCTTCCTGCTTGGCAAACCATCCCGCCGCCTTTGTTGGTAGTTCAGTAGGTCGAAGAAGGGCCTTGAAGGCAATCGGGTCACCCCGCAGGGAGCACGAGCAGATCGAAACGCGCCGGCTGCCGCCACTGGCTTGTTAGGCGTTTGCGCGCAGCGTTTACCAGGATCCCGCGGAAGAGGCCCCAAAATAAACAACCGACGCGGGCTCAAATGCTTTACCGGGCCAGCATGTCCGACTGGGTCTTTTGGTTTTGTTTTAGAAAGCCCATCCTGGGCTGCTTTCTCTAACGGTGGGACCATTTGCTCCTACAGAGTGGCAGAAAGAGCTACGCCTAGGCAAAAAAACCCCAACCGCAGATGACCCTCTGTTGGCCGGGGGGGGGGGTTGTATCGGATCCGAATTCCACTCCTGACATAAAATGAGACCTAAATGATGATTTCTGAGGCCAGCGCTTGAAGACAGACATATTCAAATAGAAAAGGGGAGGGCGTGTGAATTCAGCGCGCAGGACATTTATGTAAACTTTTCTTTTTGGCAACTCCGTTGCTATCTCCTGACTCTGTTTTGAAGACTCGTTGGCGATCGTGTTATGCTTGTCTTAATCGTGGGCCTCGTGCGAAGCACTACCCGGCTATGAGAAAATAGCTGGATTTATAAGGCTATGATCCTTTGCATGTAAGCCCCGCTGGGCTGATGTACTCTGTAAATGTGCAGAGGGTTACGCTGTTAATCTGCTTTTTGTACGCCCTCGGATCCTCGTTAACATTTTGTGGCCTATCCCTTCCCCTTCCCTGAAGTCATGGGAGATATAGTTAAGATATATTATACATTTTCCCACCGATCGCTCTGCTATTCCATGTCAATTAAAAAGCAAAAGAGGTTCGGCCAAACGCAGCCCTATGAAAGGCCTTTGAAATCGATGGGCTTGGTCCCGCGTCAGCTCAGCGCTCGGGGAGGGATGCAAATTTGTTCAGCGCTGGAGTCCGAAAAGGGAACCGTTTTGCACTGAAGAGGGAAGGGAAAGACTCTCCCGGAATCCTTCCGGCTTGAGAGCCTGGTCTGTGCAGGCCTCAGAGACCCACAATCCCGCCGCTCCTTCGCGCGCGCTCTCCCCCTCTCTCTCTCACACACACAGCCCCGCCAATAAACTGTAAGGTTTACGCGTCTCGCCCCACCTGGTTTCCAAGCAGATAGCAAAAGGAGAGTAAGTTTGGTTCTAGGAGGCCCGGTGGGGAACCAGGGGCAAGAAAACCCGTCCTGGGATGAAAAGGGATCCTCTCCTACAGAGAAATATCACACACACGTTTGTCATGGAGGCGCCATTTCAAGTTTGGGGGCACAGCAAAGAGATACCGGAAGGCGAGAGCAAGACTGCAAGGTCCAAAGGCCCTCTCCACAAGACGGAATGGCACGCAAAGGAAACATTTTACGCATTTGGATACGGTTACTTAAAAAACAAAACAAAACAAAGCAATACCACTCGTAGAAACATGGGCGGTTGATCTAATGCTGCTGAGGAGAGCGGGGTGGGGGGTTGGGCCTGAAACGGCTCTCCCTCGCAAGAAGGTCCGTTTCACTCCCCGCTTGCTTTGTAGGGGGCTCAGGGTCGCTCTCTTAGGGAGCAGTGCGCTGCCACGCGAGGACCCCATTTTTGGAAGAATCCTTCCCAGTTTTTGGTGCTCTGGAGGTTGACGACTGAGCCGTCCTTCATCGAAAGCTTGGGGTTGGTCCAATCGGGCGTGAAGCGAAGCGGAGCACCCACCCAGCGCCCAAACTGGCTCCCTCCGCCGGTTACCCGGGAGGAAGAGGTCCTAGACCACAAGGGAGTTAGTTCGGAGCAACTAGAGTTCAATACCTTTCCCCTTCGCCCCTCGCGTCCAGGCCGCGGCTCTCGCGGTGCAAGCCTCGACTCTTTCCCTCCATGCCATTCCGCAGGATCTTGGGATTTTTTTATTGCAAGACCCACCCATAACACCGGCTCTGCTATCTCCGCCAGCGGTAGATTCATCTGGACACAAGGGAGGGGGCGGGGGTGTCAAAGAGAGGCCCGATCCCGTCCCAGTTTACTCCGAAGTAAGTGTCACCGACCTCAACGGGCCTTCATAAACCAAAACGCGTGTCCTCCCCCCTGCACCCCACAGCCCCAAAAGCTCAGGGAACACAAGACTGCAGCCTTAAATCCATTCCTTTTCCTTTGATGCCATGCCAATGGAAACAACTGCTTGCCTAAAGGCATCAAATTAAATGGGTTGTGGATCGGGTTGTTTCCTTTCGCCTTGCCTGGACCCAGCACACGCGCGCACGCCAAAACTCTGAACTTACTTACTCAAACCGATCTACATGGATCGGAATGGGAATCTTCCGAATTGTGTTATTTACGGGTATGGGTGGTGGGACACGCTGACCCTCTCAAAGACAACAAACTTGCATCTCCGTTTCTGGGGGAAAGTTAATTAAGTAAAACGAATCAGCACCACGAAGCTTACGGGAGATTACTCCCTAGTTTAGTGTATCAAGGACGGCAGTGGTTATGTCTTACTGCAGTCTTACTCGGGAAAAATCCCCACTAACGTAAGACTTTGCTGTGCCACAGGCCCGTCCATTTCTTGAGCTACAGCTCTGGCGTGCCAGCCCTTTGGGGAGCGGGTCCGCTAGATTTCCACGGAATGAAAGGCGCGCGTGTCTTTGGGGATCGCAGCCAAAGATTACCCGAGGCCCTGATCCGTGAAGCCTTAGCCATGTTCGACGGAGATCTGCTCCCTTTGAAAGAGGTGGGACTTGCCTCGACTTCTCCATACTGGAGGGGGGGGTCGGAGTGCTGAAACTCCCCCGAGAGCAGAGTTTCACTGTCTCTCGCGCGCCACCTCCCTGCCCCCAAGGCACCCGCCGCCCCCTCGGCCAAAGATGGAAGGAGAAGCAGATCGGTGGAGCTTCCAGGCGGGGAGAGTTGACCTTGAGCAGGGAAAGGGGGAAAAGCAGCGTCCAAGCAGCTCTTAGCGCGTGGACAAAAGAAGGTCCACGTCTATTTATTTCCGTTTCAGTCCCCACCTTCCCTCTCCAGGGGGGCAGCCGAGCTCTCCCGCCCCCCCCCCCCACGCCCCACAAACAGCTCGATCCGGGGAGGGACGGGATTCGGTTCACCCACCTGCCCACAGACCTACCTAGGGGGCTGTGGTAGGGCCGCGCCGAGAGCAGCGCTTTCACGCCGAACTTGAGCAGCTCTCCTGCCGGGGCAGAGCCCTTGGCGTCCGGGTGGTCCGTCAGGATCTCCTCGATCATAAAACTCCGGTAGCGGTGCGATCGGTGGTCGACGAAGGGGTCGGCGGGGAAATAGTGCGCGGCGGCGCCCAGCTCCAGCGGGTGCTGCATCGCTCTGCGCGGCCCCCGGGAGCCTGGTCCCTCCTCGGCCCGGCTCCGCGGCGCAAAACTCAGCGCGACCTCTCCCCGGACGCCTCTCCTTCCCGGACGCGCGCAGGCCTGGCGGAGGCAGAGACCATCCTGGCGGCCTCGGGGCGCCAAGCCCCTTCTTCGAATCCCCCTCGGAAGGAAGCCAGGCGGGGCGCGGCCGGTCTGCCCCGAGGGCCGCCCGCGCGTCTGGCCGCAGTCGCCGCCGAGGACCTCCCTGCGGAGTGAGGCCAGGCAGCCGAGCGCGCCGCGTCCGCTTGCTCGAAGGCGCGGCCTCCTCCGAGGAGCCCCTTCTCCTTTCTCCGCCCCAGCGCCGCTGCAGACAACAGCCTATTATAGGGCTGACGCGGGCTGGAGCGCGGAGGGGAGGGGAGAGAGAGAGATGCCCGAGATGAGGAGGGGCGGGTACCTGGGAAGGAGCGCTGGATCCTGCGCCAATGCAAGCAAATTAGTCTCCACGCTGGACGGCTGGAGAAATCCAAGCCGTCCTCCCGCCCCCTCCCTGTGCAGTCACGAAAAAAGGTGCCTCTGCCCTACTTTGGGGGCCAACTCCGCCCGAAGTGGAAACGATTCTCTCTCTCTCTCTCTCTCTCTCTCTCTCTCTCTCTCCCCCTCTCTCTCTGTGTGTGTGTGTGTGTGACAAACACACCCCTATTCTGGGAGCACGCTGGACCCAAGGCTGCCTCGCAGTGGTATCTTCACAGTGGCTGGGAGCATGGTTACTCGCAGGCATTTGATCCAGGACCGCAGCCTGCACAGGGCAGCAAAGCCGGACAAGGCGGCGACGGTCCCTGTCCAACGCTCTTGCCTTTATGGAGCTAAGGCATCGGCGCCCAAAGGGTGTGGCAGGAGGGGATGGCAAATGTGGAGGGAAGATTTAAAAAAAAGAAAACTGCAGAATATGGATAGAGATACATGTATTTTCAAAATCAAACATTGCTAGAAGGTGTTTCTCCCCCCCCCCCCAAGGTATTTTTTCTCAATTAAAAATTCGGTGTGGCGCCAGCAAATTTTTATTCTGAAAGTGTGGCCCAGAGAGAAAAGTTTGAGAACCACTGAGCTAAAGCATTTTCCAGGTTCCCACCTGAGGGCCAAAGGGTATAGGAATAAAGGAAATAAAGCATCTACAGTAACCCTGAAGCCAGCAAACAGCCCTTCCTCATTCCCACTCATTATCAGACACAGCAAAAGGCGTTTGCTTTTGGCTCTTATTGCAATGGTTTCTTCTTGATTCCGTATCTGGGAAGATATTTGTAGGCTGCTGCAGTCCTTATACCGCATTGCCTGGGCGTAAACGTCATTCAGCTCGGCGGGATTTGCTCTTCTGAAGACACCTGGCTAGGATTACACTTCAGGAGAATTGTCATCCCAATAAAGGAGATTTTAACGACAGCCTCAATCACAATAGCAACCAGAGCCCTTTGCTGAGTCTCAGATTCTGAAAGAAACACAATGCAAGGCGTATATGTGGCTCTCGAAAATACTCGGCTCACACATAATGATTTAGGCCTTTATTCTTTCTGTAAATAGGAATTATAGGACCTCAATACGTGCTGCTGGGAGAGTGATCAACTTAATACAGACCTCATGTACCGAATGTATTAAAGTTCACTTGCAAGCAATCCATTTTCTGTATTCCTTAGCAATAGGCCGCTTGAGTGACTGCCAGTGCAATTTTATGCGTGCCTATCCTAGAAGCATCTGATTAAGTGGACTGCTCGTGCCTCGGAAATGGGTTAATGCTTAGGATGCTACGTGACTCTTTGCTCTTTCGTCGCTGCAGCAGCAACAAACTGACACAGCTAACCCACAGGAAATCGTTACTCGGGTGAAGACAGTGCGGAGCTGCAATCCTCAGAACGACTTGCCTGGGAGCAGACGGGCTTAGGAATTGCTAAACTGCAGTCTTGGGCTCACTTGTCCGGGAGAAAGTTCCATTTCTCTCAGTGGTGGTTGACTTCTCAGTAGGCGCTAGAAGTTTGCATGGTCGAGTCTTGCAAAAAAAAAAAAAGCAAAACTGAGTAGGCCCCCATAATTAAATGCGTCCAAAGGCTCGTAGCTCAGTAGATAAGCATCTCCAAGCACGGCAGGGAATAGTCGCTGTCTATAACCCTGGAGAGCCGCTGCCAGTCAGTACAGACAATATTGAATTCCATGGACCAATGATCTGACTCAGTAGAAGACAGTTTCCTGAGTTTGCCGGGAGAATTCCGCAGATGAGGCCAACCAAGCCCCTCTCCCGTTGCAGGCAGTGGCGGAATCATCCGCCCTTGGAAGAAATCCCAACGGAATTCATTCGGCCTTACTTCGGAGTAATCGCAGCAGGATGAGCCAGTGCTTCGTTTAGACGAGATGTGCCAAATAAGAATATCACGTTCATATCTATAAAACACTTGACTGTATATCTTTACTGTTGCTTTATTGGAACGACCTTTAGTCAACTGCGCAATTAAGAGAGTTTACCAAGAGTCTGCAGACGTTTTCTAAATGCAGACGTGGAAATACGAAGTGACCCCCTCTGTGGCTTGGGCTTCCAACATGATTTGGAGCCGGCACCGAAAACCGTCGAGAGCCCCTGGACCTTGTGAACGTATGGGGAATTGCAGCTGGCCGGATAGTATATCTGAACTCTAATGACTCCGGTTCGACGGCGTCCAGGTTAACAGGCGGCTATGTCCCGCCAAAATAAGCACGACGTCTAATAGCTTTGCAAAAGAAAATAGGATACTTAAGGCATTGCCCAGCAACAACTGACTGATTTAAAGTCCTGGCCATTTTAACAGGGGGATTTCAGCAAGTGCTCAAAGCTTATTTGGGATACCGCCCTGTTGAGCTGTCAGTGGGACTTACTTTCAATCTTTCAATCAACGCTTCAAAAAAGTGTTTCATGTTGGTTGGATCATGTCCTTATTTCGCAAGTGGAGTAAGAGTTTACTGGGGTTTTTCCGCCTTCCCTATTTTGGGGGAGGCGGGTCGTTTTGTTTGTGGCTGTTGTGCGTAGTGAAACTTAGAAATTCAATAAATAATTATACTAGCGAAAATGAACCAGGAGGTAATGCCGATACGTCTCTGATTCCTTATCGGCGCTGAATGGCACCAAGCTGCCAACCAGTGGTGTGGCCTCTGTTTGACTGGCAAGGGCGCTCGTGGACGCCTCTCCTTGAACTTGGAAAAAAAGGATGTCCAGATTTGTATTCCTACCTCATTCAAGTTATGGGAAACCAACCCTACGAGTGACCTGGGGCCGGTTCATACAGGTGTGCTCCTTACCTGGTGTCAAGGGCACAAGGACCTGCCTTCTTACAGAGGTTTTGTTTTGTTTACACAACTAGGAGGTGTGTGTATTTAGTCAATCTAGCCCACTGTTGTCTACACTGTCTGGCAGCGGCTGGCCAGGGTCTCTACTAACCCAGAGATGCTGGGGGTCGAACCTATGACTTGAGCCAGGGCCCTTCCCCTCTGACGGGGCCGTCGCAGATGCAACACCGCAGACAGAGCTTCCACAGGGCAGTCAGATGCAGTTTCCTTCCTCGTCGCCATCAGTTCACACGCTGCCTTGGCCAAATCATTAGTCCACCTCACGCAGCTCTACATCAAGGGTAACCAACGCGGTGCTCTCCAGATGTGCTCTCCAGATGTGGTCTCCTCTTCCCATCAACCCCTGGGTCAGCATTGCCAATGTTTGGGGATGATGGGAGCTGGCAGAGGAAGGGCGTAACTCTTCGAGGCCTTAAGCATGAAAGACAACGACGCTCAATAATTTGGGTGGTGTGTGTGTGCTCACCTGCGTTAGGCTTGATGGAGAAGAGGGAATAGTGGTGGATATAGGGAAACATTGTGGATATATACAGATATTACGATTTCCTCTCTCTGGCACTGCAGCTCCGTCCCAGGTTACTATACTCATATGTAGATCGCATTTGAAGGGACTCCGCTTACCTCTGACTCTCCTCTAGGCTTGCAGACATTACACTGCAATCTTCTGCATATCTACTAAGCGTTAAGCCCACGGAGTTCAATGGGTCTTGACGTCCGGAAAGTGTGCATAAGACTGCAGTTTTGTACTCAAGGGAATGGCTTCTTGGAACCGCCACTCGTGAGCTACCACGCTCCAAAGGCAGCGTTTTCTGGCTTGGTCCAATAACTCGAATGCGACTACTTCGGAGTAAAGAGGTCATGGATGGCAGCCAGGTCTAGAAGTCCACAGCAGTACAATCAACATAGCGAAGATTTGGGGTGGATCCAGACGACCGTTTTACCTGGTGATGATATATGGTCGTCTGGATTCACCCTGAACTTCAGAAGGGTTGGGGAGTCAGATGTGGGCTACGAATATGCCTGTTGTAGGAATGGATATAGCTAAATAATAGATACTCTCCTAGTGTCTAAATCCATTCCTACACCTGTAACATCGGCTTCTCGGGATTCCTGCTCTCCCAAGACGGCTGCGAGGAGGACCTGCCCGACTCATCGGACAACAAAGGAGGCTCCTTGCTTCCGAACTGTCGTTTGGTGTCACGCGCAAACGCAATCGACCCCTCGAATCATATAATTAAGGAATCGACTACTATTTCTTAAATAGGAAGATGGCAACATTATGCACATCCCCCCCACCCCCACGCAGTGAGATGTAGCGGGTGTACAAAGCAAACGCGGCGTGGATAGGAAGCACAGGGGAGAGGAAACCGAATTAAGGAAGGCTCAGAGGCTTCCCAGTGGAGTCGTAAGGTCTGGGTGCCGACGCAAGTCCGCCTCAAACTGTTCCACACAAGCAGAGGGGAACACACTCTTGACTTGGAAACTCCTTAGGATAGGGAACCCAACGCTTTTCCCAGCGCAAAGAAGCCGCTGTTCCCACAGGGCGGACCATGAGCGGAGGCAGTCCCCATTGGCACCAAGAGTTCACCTGCGAGGAGGACGAACATCAGTTTCAACAGAGTCGATGCATGTTTAGTTCGACGGAATTTAAGCGAGTGCCATTCCCAAAACTTCGGTTCTGTTGGCCTGGATACCTCGGCTCGCCCGTTGTTAACCAAGGTAACACATATCTGGAAAGACAGAATATGGTTGGGCAGATATTTGGAGCAAGGTGCATACAGACATGAATTGCGATTAGAATTACTCTAGATTCCACTTTGGGGGGCGGGCAACTCTTCCGCTATCGACTAGTGTGTGAACCAAACTGGGAGAGGGGGAGGCATAACTGACGCTTGCCTGTGGCAGGACTGAGACCCACAGTCGCTTTGGAGAGAGAGAGATTATTTCACAGATCCTTCATCTCCATCTATTTATCTGACTTCATGTTTATCTTGGGCATTAGCCACGTCCTCTAGGCGCTTCGCGGATTAAAATCAATAACATGTAAATACAATGAACCATCAACTCAAACAATCCAGGCAGAAGCAGCATTTGGAACCAGTTTCGTTTCGTAATCAAAATAGGCCGGTGAGAAACTTCGCTTTGCTTTACGCACATTATAAAAAAATATATAAAAAAACACCTTCCGAGAATATCCACCGCGGGACGGGATATAAAGAATCTCAGATTTATTACAAATGGAATTCCCGGAGGTATTTCCTCCCTCCTGAGTCACAAACCACAGCCAGAGAACTTTGGGGACTAGGTAGAAGCGACTGCAGATTCGTCACAGATTTCCTCTGGAAGTCGTGGCCACGCCACTTCCCGGTACCTCTATCAGTGTCTAGACCAGGATTTGAGCAGGAAAAGTGGGCAGGGAGAGCAGAACTCTGCGTGCAGTGGGTGAAACCCTTCCCACTGTGCCAGCAAGCTGCTGGGTTGCATTTTTTAAAGCCATGTGGTGACCCACTTTGTAAAGAGTCAAAGGAGGCTTGCATCTCCCGCGCAATAAGTTGCGGAACTGCCTTTCGTTTTTCAAAAGCCAACTCGTTCCAGGTCGCCAAAGAGACCCGGCTTGCTTAGTTAGTAGCGCCCGAGTAGTATGTGGTTAACCTCGAAACCAGTCAAGGGAGAAATCCACCGATTTCAGTTTCCTACCGAGTCTACTTTCTATTAGCGGCGAGAGATTGTCATGCATATACAGTCTAGCAACTCGATCCTAAGCGCATTTCCCTTGGAAACAGGGTCCACGGAAATCCCTGGCGCTTACTTCTTAGTAAACTGCACACTTTAGGAAGTGCAACTGAGCTTCGCCTTGAGATCTGCTGATCTGGGCAGGTTCATTGAAATTAACGTAACTCACTCTGGAGGATATGAGTTGGGGGTCGAGATTGTCAGAATGTCAAAGTTTAGTCTCGCCTTCAGTGGGAAGTAAGCCTCGCCAAACCTGGACTTCTAACTCATCGCTCTTCATGGCCTTCTGAACTTCTGATCACATATCCAAGCACCCCGACGATCAATGAATGGACTTAGAAGTTGGTTGTCATGAAATTTACTTTCGAGCGAGAGTGCTAAATATCACATCAACAGGGGAATAGCAAACAAAGCCGTCAACCCCCAGGAAATTCTAGTCTTCTTCCCTTCCCTTCCTTTTTTCTTTTCTTCCTTTTTTGTTGTTGTTTGTTCATCTGAAATGAGATGCAAACACACAGAGAAAAATGATATTATCATTATTATTACTATTAATATTACAAAACCGCATCTTTTTTTTGTTGAGGACAACCTTAGGATTCACTCTCAGGGGCTGTGTGAGCACCTGATAAGGATAATTAACCACAATCTGATAACACAAAAAGATTGTCCAAAGAACAATCGTGCGCTCACGGAGGACTATTGTCGTCTTTCACTTCCTCACAGTTATGTATTTATCCTGCTATGGCATTCAGTCGATCCCTCAGCTCTGTAGCTCAGCGGCAGAGGACCCGTTTGACATTCAGAAGGTCCCAGGTTCAGTCCCAGGCTTCTGCTGCCTCCTTCTCCAGCTGTCAGTCAGTGACAGTACTGAGCTAAATGGACCATTTGACTCGGCTTAAGGCAGCTTCCTATGTTCTCGTTCAAGATCAACCGGGGAATTGGCAGGTTTTCTTTGGGGAGAGACACTTAGAGGAATGGAGGGCCATAAATCAGGAATAAAACAACAAGCAAGGGCGCCAATAGGGCCGAAGAGCCTTACAAGCTGACCGTGGCGTTTCGTTATGCGCAGGCTTTTCTGGGAGAGGGTAAAGCGGGGCTTACTCCTAGGCGAGCATCCATAGCCGTCTGTCTTGCGGCTTCGGGGGTCGAGAGTGGCCTCTTGCGCTGCGCAGAAGTCCAAGCCAGGTCATCTCATAGAATCATAGAATTGGAAGGGACCCTGCAGATCTCATCTATTCCAATCCTCTGCAATGCAGGAATATATGCAGCTGTCCCATCCAGGGATCGAACCTGCGACCTTGGCATTATCAGCACCACGCTCTACCCAACTGAGCAGCCTCAAGGAGCTGCCAAGGAATAGCACTGAAGGAAGCCAGGAAGAACTGTCGCTGTCTTCCGAGCCAGGGGCAGCCTTGCCAGATCTACTTCTCTCTGCGTGCGTTTTCAAAACTAAAAACCAAAGATTTACCAACCAGAGCCAGGTGGGGAAAAATGCATACATTATATAATTAAAGGGGAGGGGTCCCTCCAAGCATATTCTAATCCTGGGGAATCTCAGGCTCCAAGGCAAATGTGGCCCTCCAAGGGTCACAGGTAATACCTCTGACTGGCCCTCCTTCGCATCTCCCTTGAATGTTTTTGCGTGTTTGAAAATTGTGTTTAAACTATGAGAATGCCTCTCCTTTGTCTGGCTGCCGGACAGAGGAGGCGGTGAGAGTGCTGATGGAAACCAACCTCCACTAGGAAAATAGACATTTAATGTTCTTTGTTCTTCCTGCTTTCGTCTTCGGCCCCGCCCACCACGGGCATGCGGCCCCCGGAAGCTGCACAGAAGGGAATGCGGCCCTCGGACTGAGAAAGGTCCTTCCTCTCTGCTCTGTTTCCAAGAATTCGCCCACAGGACCGGAACTGAACCGAGTTCACAGCCCCAAAAACATTAACTTTATTCACTCCAGCAGCCTCATTTAAGCTGGGAAAGTTGTTTTATGGTCCTGAACTGGGAGTCAGAAACCCGCCTCGATCGACTGTACTCACCCAGAGATCTATCAGTAGGCCCCGATCCACCTTCTGCCCACCCTTTGGGAGACACAGAGACACCCTGGAGGTGAAAAGGAGGGGGAAGCGTGTAAGAAACGGAAGCTTTAAAGGAGTAAGAGGAGTTCGGCGACACTTTTTGCACTTGGAAAAAGGAGATGGGCGAGGCGACCTAACTCCGTATGCTTAAAACTAGCCTTGGGCACCTTTTACTGGAAATCAGAGGGAATATTGAACTCCATTGAGAGTTCCAATACGTTGCAATGTTGACTGTGTTCAAGTAATCTGTGTTTTGCATCGTTATTAACTATTATTATTATTATTTAATCGGCCCCTCTTCCACGTAAGCCGCTTTGATTTGATTTTATTTTTTAAAGGCGAAAGGGTCGTATAGCGCAAATCTGTACATGCCTACCCAGAAATAAGTTTCGCTGGGTCCCAGGCAGAAGCGCAAATGACTGAGGCAGGAATGGGGTAAGATGAGTTTAAAAACAACAACTTAAGTTAAAAATAAAATAAACAGTGAAGACTAAGTCTCTTGGGACACACTGAGACTTACTTCGGTATAAACGTGCGTAGGATCCGACTGCATGCTTGCTTAGGATCTCACGTATTTCCTACCCATGTTTTCATCAGGCGTCATTCTCCTGTCCTACTCTCAAGGCAATTTGTACTGGCCACATGACCCGGAAGCTGTCTGCGGACAAACGCCGGCTCCCTCGGCCTATAGAGCGAGATGAGCGCCACAACCTCAGAGTCCTCCGCGACTGGACCTAACGGTCAGGGGTCCCTTTACCTTTACCTTTACAATTTTAGCAGCCTTTTAGCTGCGGAGCCTTTCAACACAGGGCGATTATTCCATCTCCTTCACAACCATCTAATTGCATTGTCTCCTTATCGTGTTTTTTTGGGGGGGGTTGGGTTTTTTCACTGGTATTGCTGTTGCGTTAGAAAAAAGAAAATAAGAAGTATGTCTCTTAAAATAAAATAAAAGACGGATCATTTGGAGGTCTGACTAAACTAACCCATACTCTGTTGAACTCAGCGGAACTTCCATCCGAGTAAACGTGCATAGGATCTGGGTGCGCGTTTTTTCACGCACGCATAATCCAGTGTGCAGAGCGATCCTGAGGCATGCTTACTGTGTCAGAGTCAAGTCCTACTGCTTTATTGCTTTATGAGGGGCTTCATTTTGAGCACGCACATTTAGGATTGGGCCGTCCGGGAACTAACACAGCCAGTTTTTTTCAGGGCATTCCTTTGGATGGAAACTCGTATCCAGCGAATAGCTCTAGGAACAGGGAGATGGAATGTGCTACTATCGATCCTCCCAGACAAAACCGGTTTGACTCCACTTGGCCGGCTGAAGTGCAAGAGCAACGTGCCCCAAAGCCGGTGATCGATAATAGAAGGCTAATTGAAATGACACACCCGAAACTTCCCCCGGCCCATGCGTCACTTTCTATCCTGCGTCCTGTGCCCTCCGTGGCTGTAGGAGTTCAGGTAAGAAAAAGGCAAAAGTTAATCGGGAGACGTTTAATCTCCGTAAGGGTGAAAACCAGACATCTTTAACAGATATATTCCTTTCGAGAAAACACTTCCTTCCCGCTTCTCCGCTATTTTTCTTTGCTCCTCAAACCCAACGCTAGAATAAAATTCGACACGCGTTGTTTGTTTGTTTTGGGTTTTTTTAAGAGAAAAACAAGGAGCCTATTTCCACTTTTCACACCCATAAAGTTTCGAGCCCCCTTGAGGCAGGATTCTAATGCAAAGCAAAACCAGGCATTATCGAAGGCTGAAGTCCTGTGCGCACTCACTGTGCCGCGCAAGTCCTTCAGAGTAAATGCGCACAGGTTGGCGTTGCACAGTGCCTGCAGAATCCTCTCTTTTCCCACTGGGGCTGTGAGTATGTAAATGAATTCCTTACAGAATGGGACCACGATCCCCTTTCTTTAATATATGTCACTTTTCTAGCCTTTTTACTAAGAACTCAGAAGTAACTATCTGAGCCTCGCCCCTTTTGCTGCCTCTGCTGAATTTTGGAACCGAAACGTGGGCTCGTATTTTTCTCCTTTCCCATTATCTGGATCTGTCCATTTCTTGCCAAGGAAGCGTGCCTGGTTTTCTCATCAGAAACCGCTCCACATCCTGCGATTTACTGTATCTGAAAAAAGCACAAAGCGTAAGGCGAGAGCTGGAGCGCTGTCAAGTGGAACCGACCTAGGCTGCGCGCCGCTTTTCACTGCAGCTAAGAAACTCGAATTCCCGAGAGAGAGAGCGAGCGCTCAGGATCCGACCCTCAAGCCTTTGCAGAGAAGAGCGAGCTCAGCCCACTAGCAGTCCCTTGACGTCCTCGTCGATTTCACCCCAGCGGCTGTTGGAGAGGCGGGAGGGGCTAATCCGGACTCACTTCTTCTTCTGCTCCTTAACAGCCACAAAATCCTGCCGGACAATTGCGAGATTGCTTTCCCCACACTCCCTCTTTTTCTCCTTCTTCTCCCAGAGGGCTGTTGTGCTGGGGACGCCTCCTCCGGATGACACACCCGTCTTTGGACTGGCCCCCAAACTGCTCCCCAACGACGCCCCGTGCGCCTGATGAAAATGGCCCATTTGGAACAAAAGGGAGCAATTTGCAGCCTTCCTGAAAATCCTTTGCAGATGCAAGGCAGGAGGAGCGTGCGCTGGAGAAGTCGGGCGCTGTTCCTGAGGAGGAGGAGGAGATGGTGGTGATCCTGCGGGTGGCCAGCAGCCCCACTTCCTGGCAAGGGAGTCCTGGCTCCATGGAAACGAGGGGAAATTGCTTCCGAGTAAAGCGTGCAAGATTGCGGGTACGGGTCTGGGGCGGAGGCTCGACGGAGTCCAGACGGGGAGGAATTGCCCGACGAGATCTGGCCTCTAAGAACAGGAATCTGCCCCAACTCGCTTCAGTTCCAGCGAAGGTGATTGCGCCGGATTACCATCGGGGAAAGACGGAGCAAGTGAGAAATGCGGGGCGGGGGGGAGATGTCCTCACCTTCCCCACCAAGACACCTCGCCGCCGCTCCTGGTGCATTTGAGCGAGGCGGAACCGGCCAGAATTAAGCCATTTCTAAACCCTGCTGGTTAACAAGATAGTTCACCATACACAGTATTTAAATAGCTCAGGTCGAAAACAATGAGATTCTTTAAAGTGCTGGACTTTGGCTGGATCGTTGCCATTTTGTTACAGAAAAAAATGTAGCTCCTACCGAGCGCTCAGTTCCTTTCCCTGTTGCTTCTTCCGAGCTGCGCTTGCACCATTTAGCGACAGAGAATCACACCACGCATCTGCACTCTTGATATTTTTATGTCTCCGATTATATCTCGTGTGTCCCCTTTAAAAAACAACAACAAGCGGACACAGTGCTTCTTGCTGCTTTACATTTTACAGACTTTTATAGAACTGGTCCCGTAGGAGATGAGGCAGGTCAGGTCTCGCCACGACGAGGAACTTAGTGCAACGATTCACAAGATCGTAATGTCGCGACAATTGACATAAACATTAGGCAGAGTTAATGGCCAAGGGGCCCTACAGAAGAATGATCTGCCTGTCTTATCCCCAGCTGCATCAGTGCTTAAAAGACCGATGAACCATGGTGTAGAACAATAGCAACGCACAATATCCCCCCCCCCCCATTTTATTTTATTATAAAACCACATTTGAAGGGTTGAAGGTGCTCCATTCTTAGTTATAGGCATTGAGAATGAGCCTTTGCAGATTTCAGTGGGGACCTCACCGCAAACTGCAGCGCGTGCTTAAGACCCAGAAAGCAAGATCCGGTTTTCCCTCTCACGCGCACTCCTTTACGCTTACTGCCCGCCTGTTCTGGCAGTGCTAACAGGGCGGATCCGTGCTCATATTCTTTCAGGGCAACCTTGTAAATGGATGGGTGGCTCTTAAAACTGCGTACGTCAGCGTGACTAGAAAACTCAGACGTGTGCCTTACTCCGTATTCACTGAATCCGAATTAAGAGGATCCGAGTGATCACCTGAGCTAGCAGTCTAGAAAGCCACCAGATCACTAGCTGAACCCCACCCGCCCCGTCCCTTCCTGCACCCTAGAGATTTCCAGAGAACAAAGAAATCAGGGCAGGAATAGGTCGACGTGCTCTGTAAGCTCGACGTCGCTCGATTAAAAGCTCAGCCTTGTCACTTGTACCCCTGACATCAGCTGGTTGCGGGAGAAGGGACCCCAAAGTGGGCAAGAGTTGATAATCAAAGAATGTTTCCATTAACTTCTCACTTTTCCCAGCACAGAGCAAATGGCCAACTCCTGGGCCCTGGGAAGGAGGCG